ATGCACTGTTGGAAGAAATGTCCACCTGGGTTCAGTTCCAAGTGGGGAAACATGGAGGCTGTTTGGAAAGATGGTTTAATGGTGGACAGGATCACATCCCTTGGAGCTCTGGGTGAAAAAAGGCAGAGATGCTGAGAGTCCCTGGGTTTCATGCCCTCTGGACTTTGAACTTCTCGGGGCACAAGAAGAGTATCCTGATTGGTAGCTGTCAGAGGTCATAGCCAGCTTTGTTGATTGTCTGTGTGCTAAGTTTGGTTGAAACTTGGTGGGTGGTACAATGAAGGGCAATGAAATGGTTCTGCCTGAAGGGGGTAGATCTTTGTTATGTAGAATACACTGACCCAGGCCTCTCTTTTTAGGGAAAATATTCTGCCTTTTTAATATTTCCTAAAATATTTCATTTTCTAGGAGTGAGATGAGTTTAAACTTCCTAAAACACAAACCAGGGGTCTGATCGACCAGAACGCTGCTCATTTTGTTTTCTATTGAATGGGGCTAATAGGATTTTGTTTTTTTCAACAGCAGTGGCAGCTCAGATTATCTTTTCAATCTTTTTTTAAGATCTCCTTTTTCTCAGCTAGAAAGCACAACAAGAAACAATGAAAGGAAACTAATCAATGAGAGAAGCAACCTAGAAATAAGGAGAAATTTCCTAACAACAAGTAACCAGTGGAACAGCTGCCTTCAGAAGTTGTACCTGTTTCATCACTGGAGGTTTTTAAGATGAGACCGGACAGCCACTTGTCTGGAATGGTATAGGTTTTCCTGTTTGAACAGGGGTTGGAACAGAAGACCTCCAAGGTCTCTTCCAACTCTGTTATACTGTTAAGGAGAACACACTGGCTCACTAGATTACGTGCTGGTTTTCAGGATCTGAGGCAGCAGAAGTAAAGATGGTCAAAGGTCAGGTTCAAATTGGTGTGTTTGAGATGGACAGAGGGAGGGGAGAAAATAGTAAAATGGTGCCTTGTGGAATTCACCCCAATCTCCATTCAGATGGAAGGGAGTACAATACAAATCACTAGTTGCATATAATAAGTAGTGCCAATAATTGCCCAAGTTTTATGTGACTCATTTTTTAATTTAGTGAATGGCCCATGTTTTAACTTTCTACTACTGTCTGTAGGAAGTTAAAACCCATCCCTCTCCTAGAAAAATGAAATATCCTGGGAAATATTGAAAAGGCAGAATATTA